CTATTTAGGCAGAGTACTGTTATTAAATTATATATATATATATATATATATATATATATATATATATATATATATATATATATATATATATATATATATATATATATATATATATATATATATATATATATATATAATCGTGTGTATAAAGAAAGAGAATCAAACACGGAGAGTCTCAAAATCCTTTTGTAAAAAGAACTACTTTCTTCCAGCATTTATTCACATCTGCAGCTGACATCAGAACAGCAAAAACTGTTGCTCATTCATCAATGCCACTTTAGAGCTAGTATTTGAATGATTCTCTGGCTGTTTAATGTTAAAGTGATGACAAAACAGTGTTTTGCTCACATTTTGAGATTATAAGGCTAAAAGGCATGAAATGTCATCTGTCTACAGAGAATTCAGAGTATTTCTCTGTTGCAATCGGGAGATCACAATATTAATATGGTATAAATACAGCACTTCAACATACAAAATGAAATTATGCAATTTTTTATGGCTTATTATGCTTCTCTCACCATTTTGTGGATGAACATCGTCATCCGTCTTTACTCAAAGACAGGCTAATGGCCGCCGACGCACTGTCTCACGGAAATTAACGTTATGAATATTTCGCAATGGGCACTATCCTTTTTAAAAAAAAACTGCAACATAGTAGCAATCTAAACAACTACATTCTACATACTAAAAAAGCCACAGGGGAATGAACCACTGATTACTGTAGCATGTGTTTTTGGCGGGCAGATGACCTTTCAGCCACAACCCAGCACTGAAAGTGCACTAACTCAAGAAAACCCAGTGCTGGTGTAACCCCACCAGTCCCACTGTACCCACCCTGCTCCAAGCTGGGATCGAACCAGCGTCCCTCCGCATTGCAATCGGTTGCTCTAACAAGGAGGCTAAAGACCATGGCCTTTAGCATCTGTCGCTAGAGCACGTTTAGAGTTCAGAGGAGTGAGGTTTACCTGCACAGCACTTACTAGCTGGCCTCCATTACACTCACAGCCCTAAACCTCACTCCCATCCGGGTCACGGCACCAATAAACCTCGCCTATCTTACTACACCCAACCAGCTCCAAGCTGGGATCGAACTGGCGACCTTCAGCATGGGAATTTATTGTTCTAACAAGGAGGCTAAAGACCATGGTCACTGCCATCCGTCACTTGAGCACCTTAGGAGGTCAGAGGAGTGAGGTTTATCTATACAGCACTTACTAGCTGGCCTCCGTTACACAGTGAACAACCCACACATTCTCATTCATACACATACACTTCGTCCAATTTAGTCAAAATGAGTCCAAAATCTCTGTGAAACCAGAGATCCGGAAAGCAAACCACCATGAGCATGGGGAGAACATGCAAACTCCACACAATAAGGCCTCCTACCCCAGACAGGACATAAACCAGTGACCCAGCCAACATGACACCATATTTAAGTGAACTAACACTTAAAAATGAATTAACCAAACACTGTCTAGAACAGTGCGTCTCAGCCACGTTTCTAAAAGCCCACCAGCACTGCATGTTTTGGATGTCTCCTTTGCCTGTCACACCATTAGTGGTCTTTCAGTCCCTGCTAATGAGCTGAGGATCTGAATCAGGTGTGTTTGGTTAAGGAAACATAGAAAATGTGCAGAGCTGGTGCTCCAGGAAAGTGGTTGAGAAACACTGGACTAGAATAACAACATATTTAACAGCTACTGGTATTGCAAACTGTGAAAGTTTTACATTTCTTAACATTTCCATAAAAAACGCTCTTCCTAAACCCTCACTGGTATGAATAATAATGACCCAATTGAAAAAAGCTCTTCTGATGTCATCTCGAGTACGTGTGATGATCCTAATCACGATAGTGCGCTTGAATCACAGATGGTGGCTGTTTTGTGAGTAACATTAGATTTGCAATCAAGCTTCATACTTTCACACCACACAGCATGAGCTGTGAAGCGCCGTCCACATGTTGCAGTCAGACTGTGATCTCATGGCTTTATCATAGTGACTCACATATAAAACACAGACCCTCACACTTTGAACTGGGTGGACCGCCAGTCTCCATATTAAATCCAGACGTCCCACCGCGACTGCCAAACGTAGGAAATGACCTACGATGCGTCAGTGTGTAAAACTACAACGTCACAGAGGGATTGGAAAGGGGAATCTAGGAGGAGGTGTGTATGTATGTGTGTGTGTGTTGGGGCGAGGGGCTGGACTTCCAGGAAAGTGTATTTACTATGGCAGCAGTGGATGTGAGGTGACTGCCAATGGAGACGTTTATGAACCAGAGAAACTGAGAAAACACTGAAGGATGAAGCAAGTATCAGATGTTAGTTAAGGATTTACTTTTTGTGGGAAGTGTTTGCATTGCATCAAAAATTTCTATCATGGTTCATCTGAGATGAGTTGATTCACTGAAAGAGTTTTAGGAGTGTGCTGTCTCCTTGTGGCAGACTCAAATATTACAAGAATAAGGGAATATGTCACATGACCAGAAAATGAAGAAAAATAAGATTAAGTATTTAACTACACTGTAAAAAATGCTGGGTTCCACACAATTACTTCATGTTGCCCCAACACAAATTGCTTCAGTTTACTTAATCGCTTTTTTTGTTGTTTTTTTTTTTTTGCTGTTGCAAATTTAAATTGACTGAACAGGCCTGTAGTCAGCCTGGTGAAAGGGGTGGGGAGGGAGGGGGGTTCTCAAAAAGTAAAGCTTTTAGCAGTCATAGGCCTCATTTAGGCTACTATTTCATTATGAGACTTAAATACTGCATTTTAGTGACAATTTAAGCACTATTTTAGCTGAAATAGATTGTCGTGTGCCATGATAACCCAAATAAGTACATTTAAAAACTGGATAACAACAATAGCCAAATCAGTATTCAAATTATTTTTAATATGGGACCTTTTCATTGGTCATTTTTTTGTTTCCAAAGTCCAGGATTTAGCATAAAAGTTACTTGTAAAATATTTTCTCTATTTAAAAACAATACAGTAACCAAAGATGACTTCACTTAAGTCGGATTGTATGTTTTCTGGATGAACAGCTGGATGTTGAACTCATGGAAAATAATTGTGTGCATTGGCCAAAACTGATTAGCTGAAGTCACACCGAGGGTTCCACTTGGTCTTAAAACCTTTTCTGATGAATTCTTTTTACTATTTATGATGGAAAAGTAGTCAAAATAGGACAAATTAACCCATTTAAGTTAACTCAGTTTTTCGAACCACTTAAACCACCCTGACCACGTGCCTGTCCCCCCAAAAAACTTAAGAATTGTGTTGTTTCAACTCATTTTAAATAAATAGTTTGAGCAAACAGCAAAGTCATTTTTTGAGTGTACACTGAAAAAAAAAATATTTTGCTAAAATGTTGCACACAATTTTAATGGGCTGATTTTTACACAAAGAATTTAGAAATGTTCAACTTAATTTTGTTTGTTTAAATACAGCACAAATAAATTGTTTGCAACCACTTACCTTAAAAAAATGTAGTAAATCCGATGAATAATTATTCAGCGTACAATCAAGTTTGAATCTAGCTTTCTTTTTTGCTTCCATTTTTGTTTTGGTGAATTTTTTTTTTTTTAGACTTATTTTATTGGCAGCTAGCGGTTAATATTGATTCTGTAAACTAACTTTATATTAAACAAATATATTCATTACACTGAAACACAAAACAAAGGCAAAAATGTGTTTTTATTTTATTTTACCAATATTTAACCAGGAAGTCTCATTCAGATTTAAAATATCTTTTACAAGTGGGACCTGGCCAAGAAAACAGCCATACAGTAAAACTATTTAAAAATACATAAATTACATAACATTTTATTAGTCCTCTCAACAATAACAACCACGTGCTTCCAATACCGCTCTTTATAACACCTTTAAATTCACCGAAAGACAAAAGTTTATTTAATTTGAAGTCTTTTTACAAATTATTCCATCCCCAATAAGAAAATACAGTTTTAGCCAGCTCTGTATTTCATTGATCAATCATTATAACCGATATATCGTGAAACATTATTAAATGTTTCCTTATTAAACCTTATTAAAGAATATCATTATTGTTTTATAATTTTTTTTGTTAAAATAGAATTTATGTCTTCAGTTTCAGAAGTTGCAAAAAAAAAAAAAAAACATTGAACATACCTGGATATTTTATGGAAACCAATTCACATTTCCTTTGTTTAATACATTAGAATTTATATTCTAAGAAATAATGGGTTATTCAAACACAAATTGGGTAAAACAATTGTACCTATTACACCAAGAATTGAGTTGAAATGACCCAGCATTTTTAATATAGGGTTACAAATCTTTTAAAACATTAGTTTCACAGGTCTAAATAACATCAATATTTTAGAAGCAATATTTATAAAAGATTAACCCAACAATTTTGCTTTTCTCTCAAATAAAAACCATCTTCAAACTTTTAAACAAATGTAGTGTTAGCGTTAAATTTTTAATCACTGACTTCTAAACGAATAAACAAAACAGTGCTATAAACAAGTACTCATTCATTCATTTTCTTTTCGGCTTAGTCCCTTTATTAATCAGGGGTCACCACAACCGAGTGAACCACGCCACCGTTATGCCCCTAAACAGGTACTTATTTGCAGATTTATTTTATGAAAATAATAAAAAACAAACAGCAAAATGGGTCAACACAGTCGCTGGCATTTCTGTGTGAAGTTTGCATGTTCTCCCCGTGTTTGTGTGGGTTTCCTCCAGGTGCTCCAGTTTCCCCAACAGTCCAAAGACATGCGCTATAGGTGAATTGAATAAGCTAAATTGGCCGTAGTGTATGTGAATGAGTGCGTATGGTGTTTCCCAGTACTGGGTTGCAGCTGGAAGGGTATCCGCTGTGTAAAACATATGCTGGATCAGTTGGCTATTCATTCCCCTGTGACAACCACTAATGAATAAATGGACTAAGCCAAAGGAAAATGAATAAATGAATAAACAGCAAAATGCAGTAAAGAAACTCACAAGCCAAAAATGTATTTACATAAATTTATTCATGTATTAACAGATCCAACCAGATCAAAGTAAATACATGTCACTTTTTGGAAAACTGAAAAGACTTTAAACTAGTAACAAAAATAGAAGAAATTCTCTGTCCAGAGCAGTTACATTAAATAACATTTCAGCCAACGCTTTTTAGCCTTCAGTCAATTTAGTGACCTTGTCATTTTTCACACCGTCCTTGACACGACCGTATCACAACGATGCTTTAAACGTCATAATACACAACAGCAAAGACTTAAAGAATTAAGTTATCACTGAACCCATTGCGTATTAATGATGCCACACAGATCACAACATCATCACTGACTATATACACATGACAGTGGCTCTAGGCAGATGGAAAAACGCTGTTTTTCTAACCTCTTGTGATGGAATGTAAAATCCAACACATTAAAACACTTTTCTTCATAGTCAGCATTAAAGGGGTAGTGCACCAAAAAAAAAAAACAAAACATTTTTTATTAATTATCTCACAATTTACACCCGTTTCACTTTCTGTTGAACACAGAAGATATTCTGAAAAATGTGGTGGAACCCAATAGTCCATTTTTTCCTACTATGAAATGTTAAGAACTACCATTTAATAAAAACAAAACAAAGTAAATGAAATTGAAAGGTAAATTTATTTTTGGGTGAGCTTCCCCTTTAATATTTACAGCAGAGTACATAAAACAACACCAAGGCACAAACAACCTGCATACATACTAACAAAATAACACTTTAAAGGATAGTTCACCCCAAAAAAGTTCTATTTAACACTTGTTTCAAGACTTCTCCTTTTGAACATGTACACACATGCAAACAAACAACACTTTGAACCATGTTGGAAACTGGCAGCCTTTGATGTTCACAGTATCCAGAATTCCTTCATTTGAGAGCATTTATTTGTGAATAAGTGGCAGAACTTTCATTTTTGGGTGAACCGGCCCTTTTAAAACTGATAAATTAGAATGGAAAGAAAAAAGGCTACCAATAAGACAATGGCACCAACGAAAGTACACACAACTTCTTCTGAGGACAAACATTCACTTGAGACACCAGCAAAATGATGCGTGTCTGATGTGGAAAGCAGTGATGATGAAAGCACTGGGGAATTAGAGAGAGGGTAGACCAGCTACAAGTTCACTATGAGTACAGCAGAGGTGGATGGATGGAGGGAGGGATTCTTTCAGAATCCAGATGGTGTGAGGACGTTCATGTCCCGGTGTTTGAGTTTGTGAGGACGGGTCACCTGTCTCTTTCCATCCATGGTGGGGATCTCCATCTTAGGGGGAGCTTTGAAGTTTGTTGGATCTTCGGCCAGGCGGGTGGCCTGGGCCTTCATTACTTCCATTGGGGTGGGTTTCTGAGCGCCCTTATAGGACTGCAGGGCAAAGCCCCCTGTGAACACACAGGAATGATGATGGGTGTGTTGACATTGACGAAAGGGCGAAGTCTGATGAACCGCAAACATCCAAAGAAACGCATGTGTGAAAATTGCTCCGCAGAGTTTTGTGTTTTACATACAGTAGCAGTAGAAGTTAGTTCCTGTTAGTAAATTTGATTACTTGAGCAGTGTTAATGGAGAGGTGGAAGGCATTGGACAAACTTGAGACGATTGGTGGTCTAAATGATGCACCGTAAGACATAAAATTATGTGATATAAAGTCTGGGATCTGTAATTATTCTGAAATGGAGGCATTTATGCCTAGTGAGATTGTAATATGGTTTTAGAATGTAAAATATGTGTTTTATATTTTAGTGTAGTATACAATGTGATTCATCCCATGATGGCAAAGCTGAATTCTCTGTTGTCTTTAGTGTCTTCACAAATCATTCTGATATGTGGATTTGATGGTAAATCTTTTGCAACACTTCAAAATGTCTGTACTATCACTTATGGTCAATTTAATGCATCTTGCTTAACAAAATGTATTATTTAAACAACATTTAAAGCCTTAATACATTGAACCTCTCAAAATCTCAGCGGAGGATCAACTCGATCAATAAGCAACTCCACAAACAGCAGCTTTACTTATTACTAACCTGTTTGCTCTTATTTAAAGATGGACCAAATTCTCTCTAAACAGATTATATTTTAATGAGGATTTTGCTATGTAATTGTAACAGATTTCTATCTATTATGTAGTCAGTGTACTCATTATATACATTTCTAAATTAATATCTACATAAAATTAAGTTAATTTTCCAACACTAACTCTAATTTAATTTTCCTCTTTTATAAAAAAAATATAAAAAATAAATAAATAAAGTGTCACAATGAGAAGAGGAAATCAAGATAAAACGAAAACTAAAGATATGTGCAAATGAGCATGTTAGGGCTGGGGGATTTGGCCTAAAATTTAAATCTTGATAAATTGAACATTTTAATTTGATTACGATTAATGAACGATTATTTTATTAATTTATTTTATTCACTGACAAATTTTGGACAGTATTACACGTGAGGTATTTTTTATTGAAGGGTGCATACTTGATTTTTGAAGTAATCGAAGGAAACACACACTATCTACTATCTATGAACGTTGAATAACTGAAATTAAAATGCTAATTGCCTAAAACAGTCACATGACTCCAAACGTGGTAAGGAAAGCAATCAGAAAAAAAAAAACGACATGGAAAAAATTTGATCGGTTATAGGTTCTTAATTCATTTCGATTAATCGCCCAGCCCTAGTGCTTGTTTATGATATGAGTATGTGTACCTTAAATGAGTAAAAATACATTGTTGCTGCATTGAACTACTGGAAAGGAAAAAGCACTGACACAGCAAAAGTATGAACCTTTCTAATGCATATGTCTGAAGTACCAGTGCTCATGCAAGTGAGCAAATAGACAAAAAAAAAAAAAAAGTTGTAAACTTTAGGCTTTAGTCACTCCAAATATCCTAAGTACAATCTAATGGTTTAATTACTTCATTTAATTACTCATTCATTGCAATAAAATGTCTAATGAGGTTTGTCAAAATTGTCACTGCAGGAAACACTGGATTTTTAAGTACATCAATTAATTTAGGAGTAGATTGGAAACAAATCAACAAGGTTGGAAACAATAAGTTTGATTACGACAAAAAACATTATGACCAAAACACCACAATCTACTGTTATTACATACCCTTCATTCATGTAAAGTAGAAATAATAATCATATCCGAGCAATCATGCTGATTGTATTCATCTCTGACTGTTACATTGACAGTCAAATTAAATTACTTAAACAAAAAGCATCATTTTGAGATTAAAAGAGAAAGGCAGAAGTAGTTTTTAAAGGGTAAACTGCATCATGTGCTTTACCTGATGTGTCTGGATGTGTACCTGGGTCAGTAGTGGACTTGCTGACTTGAGGCCGAGGTCCAAAAACCCCCCAGCGCTCTATAGGTCCCTCAGCTGAAGCCAGATCTACACTGGAACTGGAGCTGGTGCTCATCTCAGAGCCGGTAAGAGAAGCGGTGGAGCCCTGACTGTTGAACCAACCCCTGCCAAACACACGCACACACAAATACCACCTTGTTTCTCAACCGTCAACATGATTAATTCAAAACAAAGTGTGTGAAGCCATTGACTGTTTCAGCACCTGCGCTTTTGCTTGGGTGAGGATTGAGGGGTCCCAGCAGGCGTAGACTGATTAGATGATGGCTGCCTCTCTTCTTTGGCATCCGTGCTTTGCATTTGAAGCTTCTACAACATCCAAAACACAATTTATGGTTTTAAAAAGCCTACTGAAAGAGCCTGCGGAACCTCTACCTATTAAGTTGGAACTATACTGCCATTCTGGCATAATAATGCAGGAACAGCATCTGCAATGATATTATGCAGCACCTGAAAATAGTCCCCAGCTATTAACAGCATTGGTAGACCAACATAGATTCTTTATTATAACAGAATGAGTGTAGTATGATAGCTCCCAGTCACGTCGACCTAGAAAATAGTAAATTTAAATTTTTTGGTCGGTCTTGGTACACAATATTACTAAAGAAGAGTCACTCTTTAAAGAGCCCCTTTAATAAGTTTTTGAAAATGACCTTCAATGCAGTGTGTAATACAATGCCAAGTAAATGAAAACATCTAGCTGAGGTTTGAATCTAAAAGTGCACCGTGTTTAAAACTATTGATTCTTTAACGAAACAGTCCACTCGGAGTCAAATAAATGAATCCTGTTGGGTTTGGATCTTTTGCCTGAACGCATCAACGTCAATACGGTACATCACCAAATATGCAGTGCCGGATCCAGTAAAACATGAATGTGCTTTTCCCTTCAGACATAAGCAGAGCAGACTGGGTCATTGGACCAATCACAGCAAATTAGCCTCACTCAAAAGAAGGGGTTTGGGAACAAATAGATCACTAAACAAGTCATGTGGGAGTCGTTTGGATAATTAGGTGAAAATAAATGCATATTATAAGACAGTGAAAGTGTTTTTTTGACCTTGCATGCATTTCAGCATGCTGTTAGAGACCCCCAAAACAAAAACATGATCTTTTATAACTCAACAGGGGCTCATTAAATAGGAAAATTATTTAATACCCTTTTTAAAACATTTAGTGAGATGCTAAAGGTCTGATCTGATTTAATGACTTATGCTATACTATGCTAAAAGTGCTCTCGCCAGACCTGGAGATCAGTTGAATGGATTTAAAAATGGTAAATCCAACTCAGCCGAGTATTAACTCAGAGTATTAACACTGGAGCTAACAGAAATCTGTGACTACCACAATGGCTATAGTGGTTATTGTGACAATTCATACAAGATTTTGCATTCGTAGACATAACTGACTGTTTTAAAGACATTTATTTTGAGCTGTCGTATATTTAGTCTATCCAGTGAAGCGCAAAAAGAGACTGAAAGAAACACAATAACAGTGGATAAAAATTAAGTTCTCTACAATGCCTCTCTAGATTTTTAAACTGAAAAAAGTTTACAAAAAAAAAACAGAAATAAGCTGCTGAAACTGCATAAATGAATAAAATAAAATGATGGAGAGAGAGCAGCAAGTATTGATATTGCAGAATCCTATAGTTACACACAAGTTTTGAATATTGATTCCTTTGACAACACCTCTACCTACATGCATGGACTCGGCCAGACGGTGGTAGCGGGTCTCCTCTGCATTTAGGCCTTTGTGTGGAGTGTAGCCTGTATCAGTCAGTCCTGCCTGCTTCTCAAACTTTTGCATGCTTTCCTGGGTCTGCTCTGTGGAGGAACAAAGCAGGTCAGATAAGGACCAAATATTTCTTCTGTCAAGCAGCAGTTAACATTGAGAAATGTGAGTCAAGGTAACACACTTACTGATGATGAGGGAGTTCATGACAGAAGAGGCTTTAGCTTTCACCACAGGGATTGGTTTAGTGGATTCAAAAGAAGCACTTTGTTTTACTCCTCCTTCTGATTCATCCTCCTAAACATATGCAGAAATCATCAAAAGAATAGCAAGTCTTCTTAAACTTGAATAAAGCAAGTTTTAGTTTATGGCGCCCCCTAGTGGTACATATGGAATACGCAGGAAACGTATGATTACAAATATTCGGTTTAAAAAAACAAAACTAATCAAACTGAATTATTTAAGGTTTTACATTTAATCTGATTTATGACAATTGTAATATATTTATATATTTTAACAACAGTAGCGTCGGATATATAATATAGTTATATGTTGTATGAACAAATTTTACAAAAAATCTAACTTGCAGGACGACTTTTTCCCAATTGCATATTTTGTTAACAAAAGGTTGCATTGCAACAACATGCCAACTAATTCTCATTTGAGTATTAGTACACTGTGTGCTTAATCTGTTCATACTGCTCCTTCAACACATTTAACTGACTATAAGAAACTTTGCAAGTACATATCAACTTAAACTAACCTTAACCCCAACCTAACAGTCTAATTATATTCTAATGAAAATTAGTTAATATGTAGATGCAATGTGACTTAAATTAAACAAAATGTGTTAAAGAAAACAGAAGAGATACGTTAAAGAAGAAATTAGTAATAGATGAATGATCTGTGTGGTAATGGAGATGGGAAAATTATAAGCTTGTGCTTCATCCCACTCCACTACGACCATGTTGAAATGTATATTTTTCTAAAGAATTTTTATGGATGATATTTCTGTTTGTAATAAATCAAATCAAATCAAAGGAAACATCAAAACAACATGATACCGATTTTCAAATTATGTTAATTTTACATCAATATGTATATCTGACAAATGCAAATTAATCAATTGAAATTAAGTTTCAATTTTTAAAAAGACGAACGTTGTGGTTTTATTTGGACTAAAGTTAATGAAATGATGTCTACATCACGAAAATTTTGTCTACATTTTTATCATTATTGTTCTATTTATTTAAAGACCAAAAAAGTAAACAGAAAGTCTATATGGGAAAAAAGCACAAAAAGCCTGAGAAACTAAGACCTTCAAAAACCAAAAAACAAGTTTAAAAACAACAACAACAACAAAATATATAGATATTGATTCATACATAAAAATGATTCCTAGGCTTGTTCACTTTTAACAGTCAAAGTTGTTTTGCAGCTCTACATGTTATGTGCACTTATTTGTACTTAAAAATGTTTCTTTTAAATTTACCAAAATTATTTGCATATATTTTGTATTGCTTTTGTAGTGTTTTCTAAATGCACCATGGGTCTGGGAGTAAAGTAACTTCAATTCACAGTATGTCTGTACTTGTGGCAGAGCTTACAATAAAGCTGACTTTAACTAACACTATATTGAACAACACAAAGCCAGCCTATTTTTTACTAATTTCATTTTAATGTATAATTTATACAACTTCTATTGTTTAAGGTGATTGTGCAACGAAAGACTGTCTAAATGAATTTAATTTTACACCATTATTAACAAAATACATTTATGTGCAGTAATAAAATAAAAACTAGACAAATCTGAAAATGTATAAAAAAAATTTAAACATGCAAATATGAGAACCTCTGACCAACAAAATCATAACACACAAACACGTCAGCTTGAAATCTAGATAAACATGAACAGACTTTGCACAACGAGTTGGTTTGACCTTCAGTTCAGCACAGAATAAGCACTGCACACGCACCTCAGCGAGTCGTGCAAACTTTCTCTCGGGTATAACTGGTCGCTTCCATAGGTTGCTGATATTAATGTCAGATGGAGGTGGAGACATGGGCCTCTCCAGGTTATCATCATAGCTGAGAGCTCGACGGGTCATCCCAGCTGGGATAGACATCCCTCCGAGGAGACCCTCTGAAGAACCTGGACCTGCTTCCAGGGCTGAGGTAAAAGAAAAAAAGGCAGTCAGAAACATCTGAACAAAATCACAATGTAATGCCCTAACGAAAAAGAAAAAAACTGATGTGATAATTGTTTAAGGTATTCAAATGCACACTACTGGTCAATTTTTTTTAGATCAATAACCTATTATTATTTTACTATAATTTTATCTAATGATTTTATTTTATTTTGAGATAGTGTACTTTAAAATAGTCGTTTTCTTAATGTAGATTAAAATATTTTTTCATGTGATTTAAAGATCAATTTTCAGCATGTTTACTACAGTCCTCAGTGTCACATGATCCCTCAGAAATCATTTTATTATGATGACCTGCTGCTCAAGTAACACATATTATTGACATTGATGAAACTGTTTGGATGTTTCTTATTTTTGTGCAAACCCATACGGCACGTTTCAAAAGCACCATTAAAATTTATTTACTTTCATTCATTCATTGAGAACACATTTGAGCAATTCCAACATTATGGACGTGACATTTGCAGTAAAGATTTAAAACATAAATTCACATAGAAAGTACGTGTTTACATTATAGTGAAATATCTGTTTATATTATCCAAAACAACTAACCACAGAGTAAGGGGAGCAGAAAAAGATAAATCTGTAAGCATATTTAATACTTTAAATGAGGGAAATAAACATGCGTTATGGATGTGACCAAAAAGGTCAGCAAGTTTACAGTATACAACATACTTTGCAGAAATTCTGTGAATTAAACTGCAAAAATCAAAAGAAATTATGCTAATAAAAAGGATAAGAGTTGGCTCTCTATAAAACAAAAATTTTTTATTTTATGTTATTTGAAATTTTTGCATTTATGTGGAAAAAGCTTCGTTATGGATGCGACACATCTCCATTATGGATGTGACAGATGCAAAATTGGCACGTGTGTGACTTGGCAAAATTGGCAAGGTTGACATTTGCATGGAATTGCTCATTTAATTGTTCAAGAGTGAAAGAAAAAACAATCCTTGAGGTTAAAACTCAAAGTTCAAATTTAAAGTTTTAAAGTTAAATATTTTGCAGTTTTTCACACACAAAAAAAACTAAATGTTGTCAAAACTGATAACTATAAAAATCATTATTATTGATTTAGTACTAATAATAATTGATTGTAATGGAACAGCAAAGCAGTATATTATTACTATCTCTGAAGAATCATATGACATTGATGAACAGACTTAAAACCTTTTAAAACTTTTTCAAATCACGGTATACCTTAAAAACGGGTATCGTCCCATGCCTAATGTTAACTGTATGCTCAAGGAGTAAAACAAACAAGTTTCTCTCATTTACCTGGAAGATCTCCAGGTCTGGACACCATGGTAACGGAACAAAACGTTTCTGTTAGATCAGAAATGAAGAAAGCCTGGACAAAGCCAATCAGGTCAGACCGATTCCAATCTACAGATGAAATCAAGAAAAAGAAACAAGTAACATATTAACCAAGCATTATTTGATCGTAGGGCCAAAGAACCGTTCAGGATTCAGCCTCAGATTAATCATTAAAGAGAAATACACAGTTCAGCAATCCTCTAGCATGATGTTCAACTGAGCCTTTGCATCAATGAACAATCACAATATCCTAAACAATGAATCAATGGTTGACTTTTTTATTATTATTTTATTTTGTATTAGTTTTTTTTTTATATTATTTTTACTTTTATTATTTTATTTACTCTTTTTTGTGTAGTTTATTTTAATTTCTGAAAAAAGAAATCTAACTAGCTATGGGCAAAAAAATCTGTATTGATATTTATAAAAAAAAAACAGAAGAAGATAAGAAAAAGAGAAAAAGAAAATACCATTGAATTATTACCTGGTATTAGATGTCAAATAATGGACACCACATAAGTAAAATAATACTACTACTACCATCAGCAATATAAATTGTATTATTATTATTTGATAATGACCTATTCTATTTGATGTGCACCAACCAGATGTACTGTATTGGGGCATTACAAAACAAGTATTAATTGTGTTTCTTCACGTGGTGTCCACTATTTAACTATATGGTCACTTTTATGCCCAATGACAGACCCTAATGACAGCTTTAGTATCTTTTTGCCATGACAAAGAAAAATGAAAAAACAAGATATCTAAAAATAAAACCATTCCTAGATATGTATATTGCAATAGATGTATATAAATAAATATCAAAAGTGTGGTTTATGACTCCTTAAATTAAATCTTGTGTCATAAATTATTACATGTCTCTCTTACCAGTGAATGGCAGCTGACGCACCACTGCTAAAGCACAGGTTGATCTTTCTGACAAGCTGGGGTTTGCTTATTCAGCATTGTGGGACACCAGGTCGAGCACAGGCAGAAAGAACTGGAGAAGAGCCAAAGGAGCCATTAAAACAAGTTATAAATAAATGACGGCATAATAAACCAGTCGACAATGAAGATATAAAGTGCCACATAAAGTAGAAATGCACCTAAACGTGATATATAATATCCCTAAATCACACTATTTGAGTGTTAACGCAACAGTGAGCAGTAATGTGGTGGGAATCAGTGCATGTTGGCATTGGGATTACACCAGCTGTCCTGGTGATGTTACGTAATGCTTTCAGTCCTGATACCCGTTACATCAACAAAGCTAACAGACTAGCTGCGCCAAACAAAACAACCATCGTTAGCGTTGTTATCAAACATCATTTCGGTCAATGTTGAAATACAAAAAGAACACTTTTACTGAATACCGACTTGAATGTTAACAAAACCGCACTCTTTGTTGAACTGTATGTAAATGAGGCGAAGTAGCTGTTCATTCCAGTTTCGGCGACTTGAAACCGGTTTGGGGGGTGAGCTCGTGAACGCGCAAATCAATTGTTTTTACCTGCTGAAGTATTCCCGCGCTTCCCCTGCAGCAGCTAAAAGTCCAGCGCAAGTACTGGGAGAACGTGTAACCGAATGGCTAATTTGCACATCACAGACGCTTGAGAAGAGCTGATCTTCGTTTCTGCCATAACTTCGCCTTCATTGACAATAAGCCAACAGCCCAACACAGCTGGCTCTGCGGTTCTCGTGCAATCTCGTGAGACTTCGGCTTGTTATGGCAGCAGCTTCTGCAGTGCGCCAACTAGCCGCACGGGGCAGCAAAAGACCTACATATACAGAAACACACGTACTGTATTAGTTATTTGTTCACCTTTTACGTGGCATATGTATATGTTTACATGGTAACAAAACTGTTTTCTGTTATTTTAGGTATTACATGATATTTTTATATTTGTCTATAAATATTGATGTTTCAGTCGGTCACGAATGTCCATCAAAATTGTAAATTGCACTTTACCTGGATTAACAAGCTCTTCACCTAAATACTCTAATGTTATCACGTTTTGAATGATAGACAAATCATAAGGTTGACCTACCAGGTGAGGCATTAGGTTCAATTTCACATCCTCGTGCCTCCTTGAAGTTGTTTTTATGGTTGCTTAACACTCACGTTCTTTCTTTTCATAACAAAATGAAAAACGATCACTTTATTGTTTTATCTATTTATTTTATAAGTAAAAGGCTTTTTGTGTGTTTCCCAGTGATTGATTGCAGCTGGAATGGCATCCACTGAGTAAAACATGTGCTGGATAAGTTGGCGGTTCATTCTGCTGTGGCGACCCCTGATTAATAAAGGGACTAAGCCAAAAAGAAAATGAATGAATAAATGAAGGGTTTTTTTGTAAGTAACTTGTCTGCAGGTTAACCTACCAGGCCGCACAATTTTTTGGACTTCAAAGCAGGAACACCACCAATCTTTGAGATTAATTGCCTCTTAAAGTTTACATTTATTCATTCATTCATTTTCTTTTTGGCTTAGTCCCTTTATTAATCTGGGGTTGCCACAGCAGAATGAACCGCCAACTTATCCAGCATATGTTTTATGCAGCGGATGCCCTTTCAGCTGCAAACCATTTCTGGGAAACATCCACACACACTCATTCACACTCATAGTACGGACAATTTAGCCTACCCAATTCACCTGTATCGCATGTCTTTGGTCTGTGGGGGAAACCAGAGCACCCGGAGGAAACCCACGCGAATCCCGGGAGAACATGCAAACTCCACACAGAAACGCCAATTGACCCAGCCGAGGCTCGAACCAACGATCTTCTTGCTGAGGCGACAGCACTAAATACTGCGCCACTGCATCGATAAGTTTACATTAATATTTAAATTAAATAAATTAATTCAAAGTAATTACTCTTGTAAACTAAAAAAGTTTTTGAATGTAACTTGATTAAATACAAATTTGATTAACACCTATTTATATCTTAACTGTAATGAAATATTTTGTCATTTAAATACATAGCTAATGTATGTAACATACTGTAAATACATACTATGAATATGTACATACTAAATACATCACATTTATGCTCTGGGTTATTTTACATATATATTATGTTATTATTCACAGTACCTGGTTGCAGCTGGAAGGGCATCTGCTGTGTAAAACATATGCTGGATAAGTTGGCGGTTCATTCCGTTGTGGCGACCCCTGATGAATGAATGTATATAGTAATATATTGAAATTATGTTATTAAAGCAAGCAACTACTCTGTAAAAAATCTTGGTTGCCTTTAAATTTTAAGCTGAATAAAATTAACTTTATGAGTCAATTGAACTTATATTATATTAAACTGACTTAAACAGCTTGCGTAACTTATAAAATTAAATTAGAACATGATTAACTTAGATTAATAAGTTACAATAGACTAAAAACATATGCTGTCAGGACTAATTGATCATATTATTTTTTACAGTGTAAAGTATAAACAGGTTCGAAACAAATTATTCAAGTTCATATAATAAATGACAGTCACCATCTTTTCTGATTTGTGTTATAGTAATCTGCCTACTCAAAGCGTCACTGTGTCTTTATCTTCTCACAGGTTTGAGGATGCGTCTCTTTGGAATAAGCGCATGTTTGTGCTGTACAAAAGAACTGAGAATCTGGACAGTCAGAGGAGCCTCTTGACCTTTTGAGTTACAGGGGCTGATGAACTCATGTAAGAAACCCCAGTAAACCATAAGTAAGTAATGGCCCTAATCTAGGGCTTTGGGTATATGCAGGACCAGAGATGGCAAAATTACACTCATCCTTTACTTAAGTAGAAGTGCAGATACTCATGTTTAAAACAACTTTGGTAAAAGTACTGACTACATCTTTGTACATAAGTAAAAGTAAAGAAGTACTGCCTCAAAAATGTAAAAAAGTAAAATGTACCCGTTTCAACCACAGTCCAAAGAAATGCGGTGTAGGTGAATAATTGGTAACTAAATTGGCAGTAGTGTATGTGTGTGTGTGTGTGTGAGAATGTTAGTGTGTATGGGTGTTTCCCCAGTAATGGGTTGCAGCTGGAAGGGTATCCACTGTGTAAAACATAAGCTGGAATAATTGGTGGTTAATTCCACTCTGGCGACCCCTTATAAATCAGGAACTAAGTTTAAGAAAAGTGAGTGAGGATAGGTAGACCTCACATCCTATTGATACAATATTTTAAACTTACTTACATTAACAATTTTTATGTAAAATGTTTGTTACCAATTTTCTGAAAGTAGCCAAGCAGCATCTCAACCTGTAACATAGCCTCACAACATTGCTCAATAAGGTGGCTTGTGTATCATCATGCTGACGCAAACTCACAGCATTCATCATGTAGTTTTGTGGCTGTTAAATCAAAAACAACAGCTGCAATTCATGTTCATATACTCTAAAATAATTCTGTAGCCCTGTCTATCTTTATAAATAATTACATTGTACTCTGCACTGAATTCTGTCCAAAATACATAACCTTTTATTTCAGTGTTTTTCCCCCCAGGGTATTGAGGTTATTTTATTTAATGAATAAACATTAATACTGTTACAGTTTTTCTAAGTAATTTTGTTCCATTTCTCAGATCAGAATTGAAATTCTCAAAACTCCCTGTTCAATCTTCAGATCATCATTGTGTCACTCACTTGTGCACATCAGAAAAGCAGCTTCTTATTATGAACAAGTTGCAAATGCTTTTGTAGATTTATGCAAATGATTATGTGCAATTCTCTGCTGTTTCCTACATTATCAATCACTTACGTCATGTTGATCAAAATGTATTATTTTGGTCTGTTGAATAGTCTCACTCCTCACAACATTTAATAATTTGATCATAAATTCAAGTCTTTACATAAAAAATGGCTGAACAAGTTGTCTTAATGACTTTTTTAATAACTTTTCATTACTTTTTTCTAAATCTGTCTACAACTTTTTCAAATGAAGGTCTAAAAGGAGGTTGTCCTATGTTTGCATGTTTATTTTGTTTGTTCTTTGTCCTGTGCAGTGCTGTTTTTTCCTTTCTGTATCATAATGACATGATCTGGCAACTATTTACAGTACAAATAGCAACTAAAAATATTGCCATTGTTTACATCAGAACAACCTTATATACACTTTTATTGACAACATGACTATTAAGTAATTTGAGTCATGTCATTCTAACGCCACTGACATGTTCATTGACACAGAAACTTAGTTTTGAGAGATGAACTAAGGATTTTGAGAAGGACACTGGCTTTTGTAGGTTTTAATTCTGATCTGAGAAAGGTTGCAAAGTGACTGAGAAAACTGTAATACATTTATTCTATGCTAAAAACAACATATACAGGTGTGACTACAATCTATAAAACACATGCATAATATTTTTCCACATATAAATTCAGGATCTTTTGCATTATATTTTTATTCATAAATTGCCCAGTATAGTTACTTTTGTTGTAAAATACTTGTTAAAATTATTAATTGAAGACAACTGTACAGGCCTACAGGTATATGTATAATCATATAGTCAATAAAAATCAATAAAAACTGAAAAACGGCATAAATTCTGTTATTATGAAATATAAACTTATCAGAAATAAAGGAAATACATTTTTTTATAAAGTATTTGAAAGTTTGACTAAATAAACAAATCTTTACAAAAAGCATCTTGCAGTATTAGAATGAAAGACCAGAGAAATCGCGAGCAGTATAATCGGAAGTGGACAGAAGGCGTAAATATTTAAATGGTCTGTTTTTGAACTTGAATGTATCTCTCTTGTTTACCTGTGATCCGAACAAGTGGGTTTCTTATTAGCGTGAAAGAGGGCAGCATTAGTCATGTTAATCGCCGACTCCCTCTGTCACATCTGCATAGTCATTCTAGCCTTTCTCATAGCAATCTTCATAAACTAGCCCACCCACGTACGGTGCGTGATAGCCTTGAAAAGGCCGCGCAGTGCAGCACGCAGGTGTGCAATGAGGAAAAATAAGCCCCTTTCACACGGTGATACCGGTAAATATCCGGAAAATTTCCGGAACGACTTTACCGGTATATTCAAAAAAGCGCTGTTCACACAGGCAAGGACGTTACGGAATTTTTCCGGAAAAGAGCATTCACACATCCATTCCAAAATACCGGTAAATTCTGACATCATTCACCACAAATGAGCTTTAAACGGCTGCGCTTGTATTTGTAAACATTTGACTAAATTACAAACTCTTTTGATGACCAATATTGTAAACAACGTTCACAGGATCATATTCGCATGTCGAGATGTTCATAATATGTGTGTGTGCTGGTGCTCACAGGCTGTTTCATGGGCACACGCAAAGCTTGAAGGTAAACAAACAACGGCTTATCATAAGCATCTTATCGATGATTATTTGCACAGTTGGCATTAAGATGAACATATAAACGTGATCTGACTAACTTCTAGCAGCTAAATGTGTCTGGAAAAATATTCAAAGGCTTTTATGCTCACAAACCGCGCGGACGTAAATGCGTCTGACTGTTGTGATTGGCTAAAGCAGAAGTCTTACGTCAGCACGTTCTAGACGTGCACGCGCTTATTCCGGAAATCTTGCTTCTGCGTTCACACAGCGCAGCATTCCGGCAAATTGCCGGTAATGTTACAACTTCTCTTTCCGGAAAATAGCCAGAACGAATTTACCGGTATTTTCAAAAATGACCTGTTCACACATACAACCTTTCCGGAAAATTGCCGGTAATTTTCCGGAAAGGTCTGTATGTGTGAAAGGGGCTATAGACTGCATCAACACTGCGTTCATGCGCAGACAAGAAATAATTTAGATTGCGCCACCAAACACATGAAAACGAAAGTAACGAGCCCGATTTAAAATTTTAAAAGTAGAAGTACAGATATTTGAGTAAAAATGTAAGAAGTAAAAGTAAAAAGTTGTCAGAAAAATAAGTTGTTAAGTAAAGTACTGATACCAGAAAAATCTAATTAAGTATAGTGAAGTATTTGCACTTTGTTACTTCCCATCTCTGTTACTTCCCATCTCACGCCCTGGAGCTTATACCACCATGTTTTGCAGTTTATAATGAGTGACTAACAGAATGTATAGAAATGAAGTATAAACTAAATATTCATTCATTCATTCATTCATTTTTTTTGTCGGCTTAGTCCCTTTATTAATCCGGGGTCACCACAGCGGAATGAACCGCCAACTTATCCAGCAAGTTTCTACGCAGCCGCAATCCATCTATGGGAAACATCCACACACACACACACACACACACACTCATACACTACGGACAATTTAGCCTACCCAATTCACCTGTACCGCATGTCTTTGGACTGTGGGGGAAACCGGAGCACCCGGAGGAAACCCACGCGAAGACAGGGAGAACATGCAAACTCCACACAGAAAGGCCAACTGAGCCAAGGTTCTAACCAGCGACCCAGCGACCCAGCACTACCTACTGCGCCACTGCCTCGCCATTAAACTAAATATAAATAATAAAATCTACTAAAAATGATTAAATCTGATAATAATATGTGGTCACATTTTTAACCATAAACCTTTTAACCAGACTTTTCTGTTGATCAATACAATTGATTTAAACGGATAGAGATAAATAATATGTTCTAAAAGTCAGCAGGTTGAGAAGCTTTGTCTATATATATATATATATATATATATATATATATATATATATATATATATATATATATATATATATATATATATATACACAGTTGAAGTCAGAATCATTAGCCCCCTTTTGATTTGATTTGATTTTTTTAATATTTCCCAAATGATTTTTAACAGAGCAAGGACATTTTCACAGTATGTCTGATAATATTTTTTCTTCTGGAGAAAGTCTTATTTGTTTTATTTCGGCTAAAATAAAAGCAGTTCTTAATTAAAAAAAAAAAAAATTAAAAAATTTTGGGACAAAATTATTAGCCCCTTTAAGCTAATTTTTTTTCGATAATCTACAGAACAAACCATTGTTATACAATAACTTGCCTAATTACCCTAACCTGCCTAGTTAGCCTAATTAACCTAGTTAAGCCTTTAAATGTCACTTTAAGCTGTATAAAAGTGTCTTGAAAAATATCAAGTAAAATATTATTTACTGTCATCATAGCAACGATAAAATAAATCCATTATTAAAAATAAGTTTTTAAAACTATTATGCTTAGAAATATGCTAAAACAATCTTCCCTCCATTAAAAAGAAATTGGTGAAAAAAATAAACAGGGCGCTAATAATTCAGGGGGGCTAATAATTCTGACTATATATATATTAGATATATATAGCACTTGATCCCATGCAGTTTGCCTATAGGCATCATCGGGGAGTAGAGGATGCCACAGTTACTTTGTTTAATCTACTTTTTAAACATTTGGAAAAAAATGGTTCCCATGCCAGACTTCTGTTTGTCGACTTCTCTTCTGCTTTTAACACAATTTAACCTTACATTTTAATTAGTAGACTGCTGGAACAGTTTGACGTTATAGTAATAACTTGGTGGGCTGGATCCTTAATTTTTTAACTAATCGTGAATGGATGTTTAGCTGATAAAGTTTGCTTCTCAACCGGGTCCCCACAAGGATGTTCTTTTACCTCTGTTATACATCCTTTACACAAACATGTGCCAGAGCAGGTGAGAAAATAGAACCATTATCAAGTATGCAGATGACACTATCATTGTCAGCCAACTTCATGATAATGAAACAGGTCATGGTCCAGTACTTACTGACTTTGTCAGATGGTGTGAGGAGTCATATCTTCAGTTAAATGTTTTAAAGACAAAAGATATGATCGTTTATTTTAAGAAGGCTGCTTACATACAGGTGAGCACTTCCATTAAAAATCAGACTGTGGAAAGTGTGCAATCACACAAATACCCTGGCACAATTATTGACTTTAAACTTTCCTTTGATGAGAATTGTGCAGCAGTGTGTAAAAAGGGGCACCAGCGACTATTTTGCTTGAGAAAGTTAAATCATTTCCATATTGATAAACACATGATGACTCTATTTTATCATGCTTTTCTTGAATCGGTTTTATCCTTCGCTTTGGTGTTTGGGAATCTCTCTGTCAAGAATAAAAACTCATTAAATCAAATAGTTAAGTGGTCCAGTAAGCTGACAGGGGTGTCACTAGCCAATCTAGAGGCTGTGTACACCAGGCAGCTAAAGAGAATCACAAATTCAATTTTAAGTGACACTACTCATCCCCTACACTCAAAGTTTCAGCTCCTTCTTTCTGTTCGCAGGTTTGTATTATTAAGCTGTAGAACGAAACGATACAAAAATAGTTTCATACCATCAGCTATTAGACATTTAAATAAGGCATAGACTAAAGGAGAGATTTTTCAGTGACTTGTATATTTTAGATAATTTTAAGAATTTACTTGTGTGTGTGTGTGTGTGTGTGAGGGGGGGGGGTGTACACTTAAAGTAATTATTTATTTATTCTTTATTTTTACGGCTTAATGTTCATTTGTTGTTGTTACTATGTGAGTTCCTTTGTGTGGCACTGTTATGAGATGAGGACTCTTGATTGCAAACCAAATCTACCTTCGGGTATAAAGTAACCTATCCACCTCCCTATAGCTAATACAACAGAGTACAAATGATTTGTCATGTAGTTGATGGAACAGGGATAAAAAAGTCACATTATTCATACATAAAACACAGACATTTTATTAATTTAAAAAAGTGGAAAAAAAAGTACAAGGTTGCTGAAAATTTACAAACAACAGATTTTCTTTTTTTTCATATAGTGTAATATACAGTTTCTCTCAAATTATTACATCCATGATAATAATTTAAATACATTTTAATACAAAAATGTACAAATTCACATGCAACCGTACTAATTAATCTTTTAACAGTAAGACAATCTCAAAATACAGAAACACCAAATTAATGCAGAGAAAACAAGATATTCTGGGTGTGTACAAACAGTCTGACAGGATAACAGTGCAGTTCTATATTGGTCATAAATCTGAATATCAAAATATTGTGGGTCAGATTTTTTAGTTTATGCTTTGTTAGTGAGCTAAGATGATTCCTAAACACTGCATTTAATCATTTATTATTCATGTCTGACTGTACTATCCAGTTTCCTCTAAACCAGGTGTGTCCAAACACGGTCCTGGAGGGCTGGTGTCCTGCAGATTTTAGCTCCAACTTGCCTCAACACACCTGAAAGGTTGTTTCTACAAAGCCTAGTAAAGCTGCGGTCACACTGGGCTTATCCTCCCATAGACTTCCATTCATATGCACGCGAATGCGTCAGACTGAAAACGCAGGGTCATGTGTCAAGTTTCGCAGGTTGCTGCGGTGCAAAGTTCAAGCTTCGTGAACTCTGACCTGCGAAATCGCATCACTTGACTGGGTGAGACTAATCGAGGATCAAAACATGATCTCTCTGGACAGAAATTTAAAACATGGAGCAATCGCACACTTTTTTAATGCCTAATAATTTTGTTTATTCCCGCCCCCTTTCGCAGCGCCGTATGACAGAATTTCGCACACACAAACTCTAGTGTGACCGTAGCTTAAGAGGTTAATTAGCTAGCCCAGGTGAGTCTGATTTGGGTTAGAACTAAACTTTGCATGACACCGGCCCTCCAGGACGTAGTTTGGACATGCCTGCTCTAAACAGTTCATTCCTGTTTACATGCTGTTTTTCTTTTCTTCTTAATTTTAAAATATTTTAACATTACCTCATTTTGAAAGTGGCAGTAAATGATCATAGCTTGCTCGTTTTACCAGTCTCCTAAATACAGTACCAATGTACTAAAAGGTTCATATTTAGACATAATAGTTCTGAACATATTTGTATGTTAAAGGTTTCATTTTTGTTTGCATTTTATCATAGATCAAATATGTGATAATATTTAAAGCAAGCATTGCATAATTAATGTGTATCACAGTAGCTGCCTGGTAATCAAATTTGCTAAAACCTGGGTTTTACAAAAAACCTCCCAGTCAGGTATTATCGTGGGCACAGTGAAATTCTTTTACTGTAAGTGAATATTATACATGTTGTTCCCTTTATCCTTTAAACTATTTTGTGTTATTAACATTACTGAATATTCGAACTGCGATTAAGATGACACATTTTTAATTCTTTAAATCTCACTAAACAATGTCAAAGGCATTCAACAATCAATGCATTTATTGTTCACGACTGGACGTTACTGGACTGGCTCAGTCTTATCATCGACATTCATTGTAACTCTACACTATGGTGTGGTATTGACACGGCACCATCTATAGGGTCACGGATTTAAAAATACATCAAAAATGTATATGCATATAAACCTGAAGTGCAAAGTCATAATTCCACATTTATCCACGTTACGGTGATGTTTAAACCTCACTGGACAGAGAGTGTAAATTACTTTTCGGCGATGGCTGGCAGCATGCATGCGCGAATGCGAGCTTCCTTCCATGCGCTGCGGCACTCTGCGATCCAGTGGGACACTATGGTCTGTTTGTCCATGCAGCGGCTGCTCTTTCCCTTCCAACCAGCAGGGGCGCCATCCAGCTTGTTGGGAACGCCACTGCGTGCGGCCAGAGTGCCCTCATCCAGCTTCTTCCTGCTGAGAGGCGACCTCTGCAAGATCGTAGAAGCAGTGATTGTGTCAGCCAGGCAAAGCTCTGGGCAGCTGCTCTTGCGCTGGATTTCCGGTGCTGAGGAACAACACGGGAAGGTGTCGCTTCGTGGCCTTCGTGGAGGAACGCTCCCTCTTCTGGTGGAGAGCGCCGGTGTACCTCTGTGACTGTAGAGGTACTCTAGTGGATCTGCAGGACCTGGGACACCCTCCTTCTGCGTAGCCTGAGCCTGAACTGCTTCTGCTGGAGTAGATTTAGTGGTCTCTTTTTCTTTATGGGTCTGTTCAACCATCTGCTCGCTGGCCGTGGAGGTTTGGGGCTGCGGAGGCTGCAGATGATGGCGCAGGCGATGCAGGCGTAGGCAGGGCTTTGGGGAATCCAAAGGGCCGATGGAGAGGATGTCACAATCAGGCTCATGCAGAGGGAAGGTGGGCCGGGCCAGATGGCAGATGGAGAGGAAGTAGTCCTGTGTGGTGGTGTGCTGGCTGTTGGTCTGGTTCAGGTCTTGCACCAGCTCCTCATAGCCTTCCCTGATGGTGGGGAGGCCTCGTTTAGCCAGCAGTCTGGACCTGGGACGCATGACTGTGAAAGTGGAAAGAGTGGCTTATTAGTACACATGAAAATCACACACAGGATTTCTTGATAGGTATTCTCAGATCTATTCCTCGAGGTCAGCTTTTCTACTTTACAACGTTCAGTTCCAACCTTTATCAAACAAAATTGCTTGTAACTTTATAGCGCTATACTATAGGTATGGGGCTGCTATGGCAAGGCCACATAAGATCCTTGGTGGCATAGGCCATTTAGATTTGTGGCAGTCCCAGTGTAGTAAGGAAAAAGACTTGGAATAGTTCAGTAGTTCTCAATTCCGGTGTTCTCAATTCCTTGTGCCCCACCCCCCTGCACATTTTGTATGTCTCTTATATTTGTCACACAAGGATCAGTTCATGGATGTCTCTGTTAATGAGTTGATGATATGAATCAGGTGTGTTAAGTAAGAAAGACATATGCTGCATCCCAATTTGCATACTATCCTTCCCAAATAGTATTTGAAAATAGAATTAGTTTGTCCCAAATCGTAGTATGTTGAAAAGAGTATGCCAAAGGTTCCTGGATGGTTTACTATTTCTGGTAAAAATTTAAGTGTAGAAGCTTTCATACTCCAACCGCTGATATTGCCCACAATACATTGCGCGTTGGACCTAAATTCGATTAGAACTACAAACATGGGTGAAAAGTGTAAATAAACTACAAAAAAGATGGATGCATGAAACCAACTATAAAGCAGAGAGGCTACGGTAAAAATGTTTGTATGACTGTTAATTAATATCTACTTCACTGTGTTATGTCTATTCCGTGTTATATTTCATCTGCAATAAGAATACTGAACTTATATAAAGACGTGTTTGGACATTGACATCTAAATGCATAATTATCCAAGGACCTGAGGAGATTTCTTTGCATAAAAGACTAATGAATGGGATATTAACTTGCTGCTGCTTCTCCAATAAGGTAGAAAATCAATAATGACAGAAATGTGGATGATGTGTGGATGATTGACAGGTCTCACAACTCAGCAACACAACAATCTGATAATTTGGAAGTAGTATGTCCCAAAGCTTGCATACTCTTCTGTTACGTACTCAAAAGTATATATTTTTCCTTCACAAAAAAATACATACTTTTAGGGCGTAGTTTGAGTATATGAATTGGGACGCTGCAATCTAAACTTGTTCATAAGGCCTTGCATTTTAGCTAGCCTATTTTAGCTAAAACAAAATGAATTATGTAATTTATAGCTGTTGAAATTAGCATTCTTATTTTTGTCATATATTTAGTTTGAGATTAGTCACTGAGGCTTTTCTGGTTTCAATATTAAACGTGCTTTAATTCATCAAGGTTAATTAATTGTAAAGGCTTCTTAAGACCAACAAAACAAAACCGCTGCAACTAAACAAAGTTATGCAACTATATTCTAATTTAAAGTTCCGAGCTTGTACACCGAGGCTAATATGCATACACACTGGATTACCTAGGGTGGAAGCTATCAACTGGTACCTCTTTCACACCACACGTAAAGAGTTGTTCACATATTGCTTCATTTGAGTGCGCAAATTCGTTATTTTCATTGGAGTCGTGTAGCTTGCTTGCGCATATTGGGAGCGACATGCTTTCCTGGCACACCTGGTTGAAATCATCTGAACTTTTAAAATGCTTTGAGCGCACTATGAGTAACGTGACAAAAAACAGACCACTCAGCTTTATACTTTTTTTACTCTGGTTCAAAAAGAAAAAACGAAAATGAAGATATCAAACAATTTAGTAACATAACTGATCAAAAGACAGAAGTTCAGCATCCTTTGACTACATTTGTTCTCTTTATAAGGGAACTACTTAGCTAATATGTAGCTTAGATTTACATTAGACAAATACTGTTTTTTTTGTTTATTTCTATTTTTATTCAATTATTTATTTAGTATTTTGTCATTTATTTTTTAGTTTAAAATTATTACTTATTTTTAATTGTCAAAAACCTTTTTTTCCACTTACTATTAAGTCTAAAGAGAAATGGCAGATATTGTTTATTTTTTTAAATTATTATTTTGTGCTGTTTTATTATGCATTATATGGCATATGCGGAAGTATATTTAAGAACTTTCAATTTGTCAGTAATCTGAGTTAAGGTCTTCCAGTGAACTGTATGCCATTACAAAATCGGCGCGTTTAAGGTCTGTTTTCTTTAAAGATCAGCGATCTCCACTGGCTAAGTGATATCTGATATAAAGTGGGTCTCAGATTGTACAAGAAGCACTGCATTAAATTACATTTTTCACCACCATGTCTTTAAAATATGAACATTTATTTTACCCCAGTATATTCGTGTGAGTAAATGGCTTTTGTCTAGTTTTACGCTTGAGCAACTAAATGACTACTAAAGTCTGTTTAACTGATTGTATTTTACATTACAACATCAATGTTGTAAAAGAAACTGTATAAAATGGAAAAAAAGTCACATTAGCCATTCACCGTTTATCAGTTTGGAAAGAAACACTAGCTACGCATATACCCTATTGTATTAGTATTATTGTAGTATTATTTGGTTACTGAGCAGCAATAAATAATTATTTAAAATATAAGGAGTTTTCATGTGATTTTCTAAACTAGTTTTGATATCAATGAATGCATAATAATCAGGATAACCGTGGACCCATGATGTTCCTATGATGTATAAAATGTATAATCGTTCCATACCTAGTAAGTAGTGCATTTCTTTTTGAAGCTCACTTCAAATAAGTGTTCTAAATTGTATAAAAATATGTATTATGCATAAAGTTCAGAATTAGACCCTGTGGGCAAATGCTACTGCGAAGGGATCTGCTGTAGACTTCTACACAAAAGTCAAAACAGCATTTTGACAGTGTAGACAATGTTTAGAGTATATTTGGGACAGGACCTTATTACTTTTGCCAAGCTGTCACTGCCATGTGACTACAACATCAGTTGTCAATTCACTGCCTTTCAAAAATCCTCTTCCAGTCTCATGGGGTATTAAAGTGGATGTATCTTCTGAATCTTGCCAGTCGTCCAGCTTTTTAGCCTACTGTTTTTCTGAATAACTTGATAGCTGAATTAAAAAAAAAGTTAAGAGCAATCTTTAGGAAAATATATTATGACTCTGCCCCAAAATCATCATGTTTCATATTTTATAACTGTCATTTCTCATCTCTCTGAAAATCATTTTAGAAAAATTACAATTAAAAATTCAACCAAATACCACCATTACCAAGATGCATTTAACCAAACATTATACCTTTTTTAGAACATAACTAAAATAAATGTGGTCCTTATAAAATGTTATTATATTATTAATAATAAAATAAGTTCCCAGATACATTTTATTCCATAATGTGTTAATAAATGCAGTAATTAACATTAAATAGTATTCCTAAATCCTTTAGAAGTGTTATCATAGTTCACGCTGACTAATGTAGTTAACAAATGAAATCTAATTTCAAATCGTTACCAACACAGGAATATCAAATTCCCCCCACACACTCTGACTCAGATGTCTAATGCCTCTCTTCTTGACTTTACGCTAATGACCCACATTATTTCTGTATTCATAATTAAACAGCATCATTTCAGAAGCTGTTATTACCTGCATGATCATTCCTTATTGATGCTCTGTACAGTAAACAGCAAAAATCAATGTATATAATGGGAGCGATTGGTTACCGGAATATGTGCTAGCCCAGTCTCCATGGCAACGCCTCTTCCCATCACATCCCAGGCTGTGCTCAGATTTCATAGCAATTTGAGTGTGCGCGCACACACACACACACATGCACATGCATACACACACACGCACATACATACACGGTAGGTTTTTTATGTTTTAAGGGGACATAAGGAATATTACACTACAGTAAAGACTGTAGTGTATATTCTATTCTCTTACACTAGCCCTAAACCCAATCCTCACAGAAAATATTCAAAATATATAAAGTGTATGGTTTATGAGCCAAAAATAAAATAAATAACCAAAAATAAATAAATAAATAAATAAATAAAAAATGTCCCCATAAGGGCAAAAAATACTGGTATTGCTAAACAAATATAACCACATTGTTATGGGTCCACAGGACCACACACCCACACACACAAACACACACACCATGCTCCTCCCCATAACACCCCTCACTGCCCCATTGCCCAAATTATCTAAACCTCATTTTATTAATGTAAACAACCCAGCACTGATTCCCACCCTTTCGAATTTCCAACCAATTGTTTAAAAGTCCTGAAAAATTCAAATGCCATTCTGGAAATGGACCAAAAAACACAATATACTTCAAGATCAAAGCAAGTCTACCTTACACAACTAACTGCAACCGACATCTGGCGCAGATTGCCCTTTCATTCGACAATTGATGAAATCCTCTAAAATCTCTTTCTCTAATCCTCAAAAATCAAACACTAAAATAGCTTCCGAATCAAATCTGCAAAATAAATTAGGATATGCAAAGACCTAAAGATTCAATCATCTTTCTCGGCTGATTTCTATTGAGGCCAGTGGTGCATATCGTTTCCCACCTGAGCGGGGTCTCTCTCCGGCTGCCTGTCGTCGCTGTGAGTCTGTTCTTCCTCCGCTCCTCTGGTCTGGTCTCCTCTTCCCTGCTGCTGCTGCCTCCGCTCCCTGCCTCAGCTCAGAGCCTCCAACTGCTGCTACACACACAAAAAATAATGATTTTCTCCCCCGTATATCTTGCTCACTCCCTCCCTCCCTTCCTTCTTCTCTCTTGCCTGTTTGCTTGCTCGCCCTCTCCTGTGCGCCTCACTTGCTCTCCTCCCTTGGTCAGTGCTAAAAATAGCGCCTTGATTCCTGTCCCCGTGGCTGTGAAGAATCATTTGCAAAATGGATTTACTGATGTGGCGGGGAGAAAGCAACGGGAGAGGGGAAGAAGTTGAAATTACGGTATGAGGGAATGAGATTAAAAAGGGAAGTTGAAAAGGGAAGCTAATGTATATTAGTATTAACTCTCTGATGTCTATAGTCATGCAAGACCAAAAAAAGTGTTAAAGGGTTAATTAACCCAAAAATGAATGTTCTGTTATTTATTACTCACTCTCATGTCATTCATGACCTTCGTTAATCTTCGAAACACAAATTAAGATAATTTACAGAGCTCCTCACCTTATATATAAGGGTGCACCCTGCCACCCTGTGAGGAAAACTCATTTGCGCCGCTTTTATCTGAGATCTTTTCGATCATTAACCAAAACTCATGACCATAGGTGAGAGCAGTCTTAGGAGAGAACCCCAGACTTCCCTCTCCCCAGACACTTCCTCCACCTCTTTTGGAGGGATCCTGAGGTGTTCCCAGGCCAGCTGAGATATAATCCCTCCAACATATCCTGGGTCTTCCCTGAGGCCTCCTTCCGGTGGGACCGAGCCACCTCAGCTGACTTCTCTTGAAGTGGAGGAGCAGTGGCTCTACTACGAGGTCCTCCTGGGTGACAGAGCTCTTCTAAAGGGTGCACCCTGCCACCCTGCGAAGGAAACTCATTTTGGCCGCTAGTATCTTGTCTTTTTCGTCATTACTTAAAGCTCATGACCATAGGTGAGTAGGATTGTAGATTGACCGGTAAATCGAGAGCTTTGCCTTTCGGCTCAGCTCCTTCTTTACCGCAACGGACTGGTATCAACCTCATTACTGCTGCTGCACCAATCCGACTGACAATCTCATGTTTCACCCTTCCCTCACACGTAAATAAAACCCCAAGATACTTGGGGTAAGGACTTTGTTAATTTGTGTTCTGAAGATCAATGAAGGTCTCAGGGGAATTGGAACAACATGAGGATATAATTAACATAAGAATTCAGATTTTTGCTTGAGCTAACCCAGGTTTATGAATTCATAACTTCATTTAAATGGTGTGAAACCTGGTGATTTTAGTACGAGCCAAATCTGTATCTTTAGTGGTCCTACAGAATTGGGCTACTTTTAAAATGTTTCAATCACAGAATTTAGTAAGCGCTTTTGCACCTTAGAACTGTTATAAGAGAACTAAAAGTAAAGATTGCATTTGTACCATAATTAGGAATTGACAACTGGAGGATGTAGCATGCTGTGATCAAAGCAGTTTTCCATTTTTATAATGAAAAGTAAATCTGTTATTTGATTGAAAGAGCTAAAGGATGACTAAATCACCTATGACAACTTGTAGCGCTCATGAAGGCAGAGAAAAGAGCAATGTCGTTGACAGGAAAATGCAGATTTCTGTAATTGTATGTCTTTAGGCACTTTAAAATATTGTGCCCTTGTTTTATTTTGTATAGCATTCATTCTTCCAATCAGTGTACAATTATGTCACTGGTAGACAGGGCCGGAGCAAGCTAAACTGCAGCTCTAGGCAAAGGACGGTCACGCTGCTCTCAAACCGAAAGCAAAACCGGGGGGGAAGGGGGGGGGGGTCTATTCTGCCTCCCTAGACGCGGCTATAAATGAGGCGCGGGTGGCGAGGGTAGTTTAGGGGACGCCCTCTCTATTCTGCCGCCCTAGACGCGGCTATAACTGAGGCGCGGGTGGCGAGGGTAGTTTAGGGGACGCCCTCTCTATTCTGCCTCCCTAGACGCGGATATAACTGAGGCGCGGTTGGCGAGGGTAGTTTAGGGGACGTCACCCTCTCTATTCTGCCGCGCTAGACGTGGATATAGGCTAACCGAGGCGCGGGTGGCAAGGGTAGTTTCGGGGACGCCGCTCTCTATATTCTGCCGCCCTAGACGCAGATATAATTGTGGGCGCGGGTGGCGAGGATAGTTTCGGGGACACCGCTCTCTCTATTCTGCCACCCTAGAAGTGGATGAGGGCGCGGGTGGCGAGGGTAGTTTCGGGGACGCCGCCCTCTCCATTCTGCCGCCCTAGGCGGCTGCCTAGGTCGCCTCTATGGAAGCACCGGCCCAGCTGGTAGACCCTACTTCAAAAAGCTGACTCCTGCTATTTAATTCTAGGAACTACAAAAAAATGAGGAAGGAGCCCCTAATATTTCAGGGGTCATTTACAACGACAATTAAATTAAAGACATTTACCATAAAATAATGGACGTTAAATTACAGATATTAATCATAAAATAATGGACGTTTAATAAAAGACATTTATCGTAAAATAATGGACGCTAAATTACATATATTTATCCCAAAATAATGGATGTTAAATTACAGAAATTTACCCTAAAATAATGGACGTTAAATTACAGACATTTACCGTAAAATAATGGACATTAAATCACAGACATTAATCGTAAAATAATGGATGTTAAATTAAAGACATTTACCGTAAAATAATGGACGTTAAATTTCAGACATTTATCGTAAAATAATGGCTGTAAAATTAAAGATATTTATCATAAAATAATGGATGTTAAATTAGACATTTACTGTAAAATAATTCATGTAAAAATTGCAGACATTTACTGTAAAGTATTGGACATTAAATTACAGATATTTACCGAGAAATAATGGAAGTTAAATTACAGACATTTACTGTAAAACAATGGACGTTAAATTACAGACATTTATCGTAAAATATTGAACGTTAAATTACAGACATTTACCGTCAAATAATGGACAGTAAATTATTGACATTGACCGTAAAATAATGAACGTTAAATTACAGAATTTTCCGGAAAATTTTTGTAACTTACTGTCTGTTATTTTACAGTAAATATAATTTAAATGCATTTGCACAAACAATTACAATTTTCTTTTTACAGTGTAGAACTCAATTTCAAGCATACCATTGGGCTACTGCTGGGCTAGTTTTGATTAGTCTTTACCACACAATTCTAGAGGTTTTTTTTGGGGGGATAACTTAATTCTTTTTGTTCAATTTATTTAATTTGTAAAAACCTATAAGTTAACTTAATGTCTTCATGTTGCCCCAACACAAATCGTTTTTTTACAGTGTAAACCTAGCAACACTGACACACAACCATCATAAGAAATTAATGGAAAAATATAATGGGGTACTTTTTTCATCAGATTTAACACAGACACAAATAGATGGCTCAAAATGTTGAATATTTTTAGTAGCATGAAATTACCTCTGAATACCAACTATTAAACAAATAAATATTATTGATATGAAGTATTGGATATTCAGTTATCAAAAAACTTTACTGTCTTAAGACCTTAGTCTCCTGACAGTTTAAACAATTACAAAATAAATAACGAAACCAGAAAACCAGTGTTGTCAAATGCTGACTTGTGATTTGTATTCTTTGCCGATACCAGTTTTATCATTCATAATTTAATTTCCTGATATATCGCTTTGCCCTCCTTGATTTGGTTACGAAGAGGAAATAATCAATTATAAGTTTGGAGAATGTCTATTTTTTGACCTTGCTTGACTGAATGGTGCTCTTATCTTAAGTGAGTGTGTTTGTACAGCTATAAATAGTTCTTTCTGCAGGTATATAGAGTCCTAGATGACCTTTCGTCATGCTCATGTTCCTGTCATACAGCAGAGGGGTAGTAAACATGAGCTCAGCATAACAAACAACAGTGTTAATGGTGGATTGCCCACATACGGTGCCTCAAATGTTTATATCGACTGTACAAAAGAGTGTATCGACTAGAAAATCCTTGTATACTACTATATACTGCAGTTATAGGAAATTTAGTCAATATCTGCCTAAGAACATACTTGATACAAATAACAAACAAACTTATTTGTGTTGTGCAAGTCCTTTACCTGTTATTGAAGGCTGTTTCTCTGTATTTTCCACGTTTGTTGGATGATCTGGTGCTGTTTTTAGTATGATGCCGTCAATGTAGACTTCATTAGAGACTGTGCTGTTAAAGCCACAAACATCAAGTTCACTCTGTTTATCAAGTGTTGATTAGTGAGGGAACGAGAGTGGGAGTGTAAGGAGGGATGTGTTGAGAGGGAGGAGGTTGTTGTTTTGAAGGTGGAGCAGCGTGGAAACCACACATTTTCAGAGCAGCCCTGTTCATTTCTGTAAAATCCACTTCCATTTGTCTCACTTCTGGTCAGAGGAAATATAAGAAGCTTTTCAGTCTGCTCTGATCAAATTCACTCCACTTAAGGGAGTGGTATATAACCGAGAGACTTATTACTTATATATTACTTAGAGACTTAATACTTATTTCTTTTAGATTTTTATTTTTATTTATGTTTCAGTTAAGGTTTGGTATGGGGTTTTGTCATTTTTATATAGTAATTATCTTTATTTGTTTATTAATAAATTTTAGCTTTAATAGATCAAGTGCGACTAAATAAAAAGGAGAAATGTTGCTTTCCACCTATTTGAAAATTTCAAATAAAATAAAATAAAATAAAATAAGTAGTGCTTATTAGTGGTAGTGCTGTCGCCTCACAGCAAGAAGGTCGCTGGTTCGAACCTCGGCTCAGTTGGCATTTCTGTGTCGAGTTTGCATGTTCTCCCTGCCTTTGCATGGGTTTCCTCCGGGTGCTCCGGTTTCCCCCACAGTCCAAAGACATGTGGTACAGGTGAATTGGGTAGGCTAAATTGTCCGTAGTGTATGAGTGAGTGTGTGTGTGGTTGTTTCCCAGAGAAGGGTTGTGGCTGGAAGGACATCCGCTGCGTAAAAACTTGCTGGATAAGTTGGCGGTTCATTCCGCTGTGGCAACCCTGGATTAATAAAGGAACTAAGCCGACAAGAAAATGAATGAATGAATAAATAAGTTGTTTTTGTGATTCTGAATTTTTTTTTTATACTATAATACCTATAATAAAATTAACTATAACAATGTGGTCAAATATGGACTAGTGTGCTGATACCTAATTTACTGAAAATTTTCATTTAATTGTTCCTAGATCTCTATGAAGGTATGATTATTATTTATTAAATTATTTATAAAAAAAAAAAGTAAATTTAATTTGAATGATTCAAAATTGATGTGTTTTATTTCAGTTAACTTTAGTTAATTTTAAATCTTACAATTTATCCACCATCTTGTCATCCCAGATTTACTTTATACTAGGGGTGTCCAGACCTTTTCCTTTAAGGGGCCAAAAATCAAACTTGATTGATGTTGGTGGGCCAAAGGTAAATATACCAAACTGTATTGCCATGGTAAATTCCTCATTTATTAATATTTATGAACTTCTTAATCTTTAATGTACTTTTTGCAATGAAAAAATAATCAATAATTCAATGCCAATGTCTTGTGCATCATCATATATCCGTCAAGTAACAGTATTTATATTTTAACATAAAAAAAAAGATTCATTCACAACAAACATTTAATTTCATTTTTTTTGTAGCTCAACAAATCATTGATTCATTCATTTACTTTCTTTTCTGCTTAGTCCCTTTATTAATCTGGGGTCGCCACAACGGAATGTACCACCAACTTATCCAGCATATGTTTTTATGCAGCGGATGCCCTTCCATCTGCAACTCATCACTGGGAAACACCCATACACACTCAATCACACACTATAGCCAATTTAGCCTACCCAATTCACCTACAGCACAAGTCTTTAGACTGTGGGGGAAACCGGAGCACTCAGAGGAAACCAATGCAAACACGGGGACAACAAGCAAACTCCACACAGAAATGCCAACTAGCCAGCCGAGGCTTGAAGCAGTGACCTTCTTGGTGTAAAGCAATTGTGCTACCCACTGCGCCACTGTGTTGCTTTCAACAAATCAACGAAAGTTTATGCTAAATTAGAATAGACTATCTCTGTTGATGGAATTTGCCCCAACATTTCCCACCCTCTTCTCAGATGGGGTTGCAGGCCAAATCAAAGGTTACTATAGGTAGTGTTCGGAAGGTTACTTTGGAAATGTAATAGATTACAGATTACAAATTACCCTATTTAAAATGTAATAAGTTGTGTACCTTTTCAATTACTTTAAAAGTAAAGTAACTGATTAAATCTGATTACTTTTTGATTGCTTATAAGTTTCTAATGGATATTTTCAACTAAATCATTTTCTAACATTTATACCCAGCAGGTGTGAGCTTACAGTGGCTCTGTTTACTGTTAGAACTTCAAAATCTTTCATCACTTGTATTAAAATTATATTATTTCATTTTAAAGTACATCTATCACAAACCAGACCTTATAAAAAATTGTTAATTGTTGTTACAAAATCTAAATTTGGGTTAGTTGTGCAGGGTGAGTTTTGTGGCATTTGCAATAAAAACACATCTAAGCTATTTTTTGCAATTTAATTTTTAAATTGAAGCAACTTAAATCCAAGTCAATCATATCTTAGTGATCAGTGAAACTGTCAATGAAACAAATAGGGCAGAACTGTTCAGTTAAATTTTTTACTAAGATTAATATACTGTACTAAACACAAACACATTATAGTATATAACAGCAAAAACAAAAAAGGGAAATATTTATAGGAATGAGCATTATATTGTATATATATATTTACAACTCTTCATTACTAAATTACATTACATAAAGTAGAATCATTAGTAACTATCATGAACTAATAGTAATTACCATAGTATACTTCAGATTTTACTACAGTAAACTATATATATAGACATCCTCTTCCACAGTCATCTTTTCATCAAGCAAATTTCTCATGTTAGCCTAATTGGTTGGTGATGTCACCAACCAGGGGTGCGTTTTTCAAACAACGACGCAACTTGCGGCTGAACTATCATAGTTTGCGTTTCGGTAAAGAACTATGTAGTGACGAGTATTTCTCAAAACCCCTCTTTTCTCTGTCGCAGAACCACATTAGTTATAACGTAAAACGTCCATCATGATGCCCTAAAGTGGGTGGAGTAACTACTACTTTAGAGAAAAACCCATAATTTCTTTGTGCAAATTTAATGGTTTTTTACGCACACGCGTTTAAAATTAAATTCAATATTAGATTTGGTAAAAACATGCATTTGCTTTCCATACTAACTGAAATATATGTAAATGGCATATATAGGGCCTGTGTTTGCTTTACTAATATTATTTAGAAGTTGAACATTACATATCCTATTCTAAAACATATCACTTGCAAAAGCTATCATGTATTCTAATATCATAACATATAAATAAATAAATAATGAGGCTATTTATAATAAATTAAATGTAATATTACTATTTATTAGAAATGAAAAAAAAACACACACTTTAATAATTTTAATAATGATGATGATGATGATGATAATAATAATAATTATTATTATTATATAGGATATTGTTTATTTATTTTTTATTTTTTGGAAAAGTCTAATTTTACAATTTGACACATGTAAACCACTGCAGAAAGTTCTAACCTGCAGGCCCATGTCATATACAGTACAGACACTTAATAAATAACCCACTGTAAATTAAAAGCATTAACGTAAGCTATGTTTTTTGTTTTCACAAGCTTTGGAGACGTAACAAATTCAGATTTTAAATAATAGGTCCCCTATAGCTTTCGCCATGAGGCTGTGTTCAAAATGACATCAATGTTTTCAAAGTACACTGCGAAGGGAGCACAATTGTAAACATGAAGATCGCTAAAACTGAACTGTAAAAGTAGTTTGAAAGCAAATTACACCTAAGACAGATGACCTTAATGCTTTTTTTGTTTTAATAATTCCAACTTTGAATGTTAAAATGTTTTAAATTAATAGGACATAGGGGGGATAAGTGAGAATTGAACACAGCCAGGAACTATGTTCCTAACTACAGCTCCAGAGCTGTAATTGCAAGTGCTCAAGTTTGCGGCGCAGTTTGCAAATGTTCGTTGGAGTGATGGATTTGGGAAACAGCAAATCAACAAACTATGTTTGTAACGATGAAACTTGCGACCTTAGTTGGCTAACAAGGGTTTTGGGAAATGCACCCCAGATCGAGAAGTGGCCAGTTACACACCAAAAAGTTTGTTGTCAACCACCGTAAAACAGGAAGAAGAAGGAATTGTCATTTCCCTTCGGAACGCGTGTCAAGCGCGAGTGATTTACATGTTAAGTCCATGTAAACACGCGAATAGACATCCTGCAACGCGATATGCGCAAATGACGCGGCACGAATGACTGGAATTGCGCGGATTTCGCGAATGGCGTAGCGCGAATTGAGCGTTTTGCGCGTTTGACGCGATTCACTTGAGTGCAAAAATCTGAACTTCAGCGGACATTCGCGCCGCGTTAACCAATCAGGAGCTTGCTCTTGTGGTGGCGTGATTGTGACATATCGCCTGTTGTTGATGTCCCAGGGGAAATCCTCCAGCAGACACTGACAAGAAGTTCATCAAACTGGGCTGGGCTCAGTCAGAAGCACAGCTGAAAGCCTCCGTCAGCCAGGTTCAGTTTCTGGAGGAGTTTATGAGCTTAAAGAGCTGGATGCACCAATGAAAGGATGTAGTGGACTCTGACACGGCCCTAAACATATCGACACTGTTTATCAGCCTTCATAAAGCACATAAACACTGTTATTTTCTTCATAAAATCCATGTTAGCCATTTAACTATGAAGCTAGAGTCACAGGGAAGACAGAATCTTTTTTTGAGTCATTTCATTCATTTGGTTCAATTTGCCAAAATATTATTAAAATGTTACGAATTGCTTCCAAAAACACCTACAACTAGCGCAAAAGGTTGATCACACGATAAATAAGTCATAAATAGAATATTATAAGAAGGAGAAAATAATAATTCAATGTTTACCTTTTGTGTATGAAGGTATTGTTGTCTCTTCGCTCAGCTCACCTCTTCATGTCTTCAAATGTCAGTGGTTCATTCACGTTATACTGACAGGCACATATAATCTTAATCAATGCACAGTCTAAGCTGATAGGAGCCATGATCGTTCGTTCATCACGTGACAGAATGACTCAAACGCGAGGACTCGAGAGATGAACAGTTCAATTCTTTCTCCGGCTCTAAACACGTATGATTG